ATGATTTTCGAACCCGCACCGAAGGTCCAGTTTAAATCGAATGATTCGCGAACCCTCACCGAAGGTCCAGTCTAAATCAAATGATTCGTGAACCTGCTCCGAAGTGCCGATCTGAATCAAATGATTCGTGAACCCGCTCTGAAGTCCTGATCTAAATCAAATGATTTGCGAACCCGCACCGAAGGTCCGGTCTAAATCAAATGATTCGCGAACCGGCACCGAAGTCCCGATCTGAATCAAATGATTTGCGAACCCACACCGAAGTCCCGATCTGAATCAAATGATTTGCGAACCCGCACCAAAGGTCCAGTCTAAATCAAACGATTCACGAACCCGCATCGAAGGTCCAGTCCAAATCAAATGATTCACGAACCCGCACTGAAGTGCTGATCTGAATCAAATTATTCGTGAACCCGCACCGAAGGTCCAGTCTAAATCAAATGTGTATGTTGTTGTTAGGAGGAAAAGGAAACACTCAAATAATGAGAATCCTGTCATCATTTACTCATCCTCATGGTGTTCCACACCTGTATGAGCCTGTTGACCACAAAAGAAAATATTTTGAAGAATGTTTGTTACTAAGCAGTTGTTGGTAGCCAGTGACTTTTGCAATATATTTGCATTACTATTGCAGTCAATGGACACTGTAAACTGTTTGGTTACCCACATTCTTCTTTTGTGTTTCAGCAGCCTCATACAGGTTTGGAACAACTTGAGGGTGAGTAAATGCTGACAGGATTCTCATTATTTGGGTGAACTGTCCTTTTAAGAAGAATTGAGTGTTATGGAGCTCACATCATCATCTCTGCTGTGTGTGTGTGTGTGTGTGTGTGTGTGTGTAGTTATAAGAGGCAGCCGCTGCTGTTGGTCTCTCTGGATGGTTTGAGAGCTGAATATCTGCAGTCGTGGCATACGGTGGTACCAGTGCTGGACAAGATCAGTGAGTCAAACACACACAAACACACATGTTCATCCTCTATAATCCTCGGTAAAACGCTGTCTGTGTGTGTGTGTGTCCAGGACGCTGCGGTACATCGGCACCCTTCATGCAGGCCGTGTTCCCCAGTAAGACGTTCCCTAACCACTACTCCATCGCCACAGTGAGTCATGTCACACAAACACACTCTTTCTCAGATGTACTTTGCCAAAACCTGTAAATAAAAATTTAGAGCGAGCATACTGCAAATGTATGTGGTTGCTGAGGTTGTAATACCGCTTCTCCTCCAGAGTTTTTTTACCTTTTGAACTGCCGCTTGGGTGCCAGTCTTTCATCATGGAATAATGAAATTAAGGGCAAGCAAACCACAGAAACTGCTCAAACTGGCCGTTTTAACTCTGTAAAGCCTGACATTTGAAGCAATAGTCCAAAAAATCAAGATTTTTGAAATTGAACACCTTTAGACAAAATATTACAAAACATTTCCATATGTTTTATGTTTTGTATCATATTTGGGATGCAAAGGGGTGGAAAATTTCAAGAACATTTCTGGAAACTTTACAAAAGTCTCTGAAAATTCATGAAATTTTCCGAAAAGTTTCCAAAAAATCACGGAAAGTTTTGGAAATTGTCCACCTTTTTGCAACCCTAATCAAGATTTTATCAAGTTCAAGTTCAAGTTCAGTTTATTTATAAAGCACATTTAAAAATGGCCACAGGCCGACCAAAGTGCTGTACAAGTTAGAATCAAATAAAAAATTAAGTACACTAATAACAGCAAAACAGTTAAAACAGAACACTCTTATAAAATACACTAATAGCAGCAAAACAGTTAGAACAGAACACTCTTATAAACTAAAGGCAACAGAGAATAAATAAGTTTTGAGACATGACTTGAACTCAGACAAAGTGGAAGCCGATCTAATATAGAGTGGGAGCTTGTTCCACAGTGTCGGGCCGGCCACTTCAAAGGCTCGGTTACCCCTCGATTTTAGCCGGGTTTTGGGTATCTGAAGAATGAGTTTATCTTTGGATCTAAGGCCTCTGGTTGGGGAGTAGGGGTGAAGTAGATCGGACAAATGTGACCCTGGAGCACAAAACCAGTCATAAGGGTAAATCTTAGCAATGCATATTACAAATCAAAAATTAAGTTTTGATATATTTATGGTAGGAAATTTACAAAATATGTTCATGGAACATGATTTTTATTTAATATCCTAATGATTTTTGGCATAAAAGAAAAATCGATAATTTTGACCCATAAAATGTTTTTTTTGGCTATTGCTACAAATATACCCCAGCGACTTAAGACTGCTTTTGTGCTCCAGGGTCACAAATAAGAAGGTGCTAAGTCATTTAATGATTTATATACCAGTAATAAAATTTCTAATAAATAAAACTCAATTCTAAAGTTAATTGGAAGCCAGTGAAGGGATCTCAGAAGTGGGGTAGCGTGATCAAATTTCCTATTTCCCTTCAGGAATCTCGCCGCAGCATTTTGAACGACCTGTAAGCGTGCCGTTTAGGACTTAGATGTACCAAAATAGAGGGAATTGCAATAATCCAGACGAGAGGTAATAAGAGCGTGGATAGCAATCTCCGAGGGGCACTTAGGAAGAAAGGATTTGATTTTCGATAGAGAACGAAGAAAGAAAAAGCTGGACCCAATGACCGTGCTTATCTGCTTGCCAAATTTGAGGCAGCTGTCTACCATCACACCTAGATTCCATACTTGGGGTGCAATAATCCAGACGAGAGGTAATAAGAGCGTGGATAGCAATCTCCGAGGGGCACTTAGGAAGAAAGGATTTGATTTTCGATAGAGAACGAAGAAAGAAAAAGCTGGACCCAATGACCGCGCTAATGTGCTTATCAAATTTGAGGCAACTATCTACCATCACACCTAGATTGTGTACTTGGGGAGAGATTAATTGATTTAAAGATTCAAGGTCAAGGTGATTTCTTGGCCTGAGTTCTGAGGGGTCAAAAACTATGAATTCTGTTTTGTCTGAGTTCAGAAAAAGAAAATTCTTGGCAAGCCAAGCTTTCACATCCTCAAGACATGCTGTTAGGTTGTCTAGAGTACTCTTATTTTTCCTAGACACAGACATATAGATTTGCATATCATCGGCATAGCAATGAAATGAGACATTATGTTTCCTAAATATGGAACCCAAAGGGAGAAGATAGAGAGAAAAAGGACAGGAGCTAAAACAGAGCCTTGAGGCACACCACAGGATAGATTGCGAAGAGAGGAAGAGAAACGTGCTATTTTTTACAGAGAAATGTCTATTGGTTAGAAAAGATTTAAACCAACTTAAAACAGCCCCCCCTAGCCCAACGCAATACTCCAGCCGAGAGATAAGGATTGCATGATCGACGGTATCAAAAGCAGAGGACAGGTCTAACATTACTAAAATGACAGAGTCCCCCGAATCTGTTGCCATATAAATATCATTAAGAACTCTTACAAGAACGGTTTCTGTGCTGTGCAGTGATTTAAACCCCGACTGAAACTTCTCAAGAATATGGCTCATATAGTCTGATACAGTGAGAATATGAAGGAAAAACAGCTCAGTTTTATTCAAAGACTCAAACTGAGCAAAAATATGCAATTTGCAATTTGCATTACTCTCAATCAGACGACAGAAGACATGAGGAGATTGAGTGTGAGACAGGTCTAACAGCATCATGCTGATCATTTGTTGATGAAGTGCCTTGTTTTTGTAAGGTGTTTTGGATAAAAGCGTGTGAGTGTGCAGGAAGTGATGTCATGTGTGGTCGTGTTCAGGGTCTGTATGCCGAATCACATGGGCTGGTGGATAATAACATGTACGACCCTGTGTTCGACGCCTCCTTCAGTCTGTCCAACAGTGAGAAAAACAATCCCAGATGGTACCAGGGACAACCGGTAAACACACAAAAACACACACACACACACATCCATGACCCTGACATCCTGTACTGACCTCTGACCTTTGACCTCAGATCTGGAACACGGCCATGTATCAGGGGCTGAAAGCGGGAACGTTCTTCTGGCCAGGATCTGATGTGGCCATAAACGGGAGTTTCCCAGATATCTACATGAATTATGATGGGTTAGTTTACCTCACACACACATCACATGGTGTTACTGAGTGTGTGGAGAGGGAGGTTTGTGCGTCAGATTCATTCCTGATAGTGTAAACAGAGTTCAGTGACCAGGTGGGGAGTAGCATCACGGCCGCAGCTCTTAAAGGCACTGCTTCTCATCTCAAGTAAATAAGCTGCATTCTCTGGATAATGGAGATGGTTTCAGATTGCGCCTGTTTTCGTTTGATCACTGTTTATACATCACTGCTGTTTAAAATCTGACCCTACACTGAGTTTGGGTCTCCTCTGCAAATTCGTTTAATTCAGATTTAGGTAGAAATTGTGTGGTTGTGTTTAATGTAGTTGATGTGTTTGTTTACTGCTTTAAGCTCTGGAAAGAGCTATAGAAATCCAAATGATTACTATTAAGAGTATTAGTATTACATTTACATTTACATTTAGTCATTTAGCAGACGCTTTTATCCAAAGCGACTTACAAATGAGGACAATAGAAGCAATCAAATTCAACTAAAGAGCAATGATATACAAGTGCTATAACAAGTCTCAGTTAGCTTAACGCAGTACACGTTGACACAGTACACGTAGCAAGGTTTTTTTTATTTAAATTATATAATAAATAATAAGAAAACAGATGGAATAGAAAAAGAATAGAGCAAGCTAGTGTTAGAGGCCTTTTTTGCTTTTGTTAATTGAATAATAAATAAAAAGAAAACAAATAGAATACAAAAAGATTAGAGAATTGTTATTTTTATTACTAGTATTAGTATTGTTAATATTAATTTTAGTATTAATCGTAGTATTAATTTTATTTTATTAATATTATTAATAATAGTAATAGTATTAATATTAATGGTATTATTAGTATTAGTATTTTAATAGTAGTATTAGTAGTAATAGTATCAATCATAGTATTACAGTTAGTATTAGTATTATTTGTAGTACTAGTTTTATTGTTCATTTTATAAGTAGTTGTAGTAGTAATAATATCAATTTTAATTGTATTATTATTATTTATATTAGTACTACTATTATTATTATTATTCGTATTAGTTTTATTATTAGTATTTGCATTACTGCTCAGTATTACTCAGTATTATTCTTAGTTTTAGTTTTAATGTTAGTATTTGTCAGGCTTGTGTTTTGTTCCCCATGTGCTCCCTGTGTCCCAGTGTTTATGCCCATATTTAGTTAGTTTCCTGTTCCTGTCCTGATTATGTTGATTTAATTCCAGGTGTTCCCCGTTTATTTCCATTGACCCCAGGTGTGTCTAGTCATCCCCTCGTCTTGTCATGTGTTTAAATAGTGTTCCCTGTTTTCAGTTCAGCGTCTGGTATTATTTATGTCTTCATGTGCTACGTGAGTTCTCCTTGTTCCTTGTTATAATTAAAGTTCTCTGGATTGATGTACTCCTCGTCTGCTTCCGTTCCTTGCTCCGCATTCCACTCAGTAGTGCAACCGTGACAGAATACCGGACCTAAAAAGATGACTGCAGCTGAGGACGCGCTGTGGGGTTTGCGGCAGGGCGGTCTGAGGTTGAAGCGATATGTGGAGGGTTTCTCGGTGCAGGGTGAGCTGGCACGACACCGCTCTAGGTGTGTGCTTCCTGCTGGGGTTGGATGACAAGATAATCCGCAGCGATCTTCCGACGTGTGATTTTCCCCTTATCGAGCTGATTAATCTTGTGCTGTTCTTAAATAGTTCAGATTTCGAAGTTGAAGAAGTAAAGAAATTTCCCAAGCCTCGTCACCCAACTCCCGCTGGAACGCGCCGCGTCTCCCCAGCTCACCCCATGCCGAGAACCTCCACATACCTCTCCAACGGCTCCTACCGCCTGCCCAACCCCAAATTCCCCGCTGTCCTCCGAAGCTCCGTGGCAAGCCCCGAAGACGTTAGTGTGGCAAGCCCCGAGGACGTGAATGTGGCAAGCCCCGAGGACGTGAATATGGCAAGCCCAAAGGACGTTAATGTGGCAACCCCAGAGCTCGCTCCAGTGTCGGCCCCAGCCCCAGGACTGGCTCCAGTGTCGGCCCCAGCCCCAGAGCTCGCTCCAGTGTCGGCTCCAGCCCCAGAGCTCGCTCCAGTGTCGATTCGAGCCCCCGAGTTTGCTCCAGTGCCAGCTCCTCGAAAGCGCCTTGCTTTGCCTGCTCCTCCAGAGCGCCCTTCAGTGCCAGCTCCTCGTAAGCGCTTCCCAGTTCCCCCGTCGCACCCAGGGAGGGCTCCAGTTCCCCCGTCGCGCCCAGGGAGGGTTCCGGATCCCCCATCGAGCCCAGGCAGGGCTCCGGATCCCCAGTCGAGCCCAGGGAGGGCTCCTGATCCCCCGTTGAGCACGGGGAGGACTCCAAATTCCCCGTTGAGCCCAGGAAGGGCTCCAGATCCCCAGTTAAGCCCAGGGAGGGCTCCAGATCTTCAGCTAAGCCCAGGGATGGCTCCAGATCCTCAGTTAAGCCCAGGGAGGGCTCCTGATTCCCCGT